GTCTAAAGTCACAATTTTCGCACTGAAGCATCATGAGGGACTGATGGTGATATTCACCGCTTTTGAGGTGGCCACGATGAACCTGTGGAAATCAGTACAACAAAGTGAAAGACATGACACTTCCTGTTGCCACTAGGTGGCGTTCTGCGTATTCCTGACAATGGGCACATCAATCTGTTCAGGTCGGCCCTGACATCACGCCTGTAAAGTCTGGTACTGATCAGACTGGATTTCATTGAGTTATACTAATTTGTTTCTTCATGGCGAGACATCAAAGTTCGCCATGCTTTCGGGGTCACACCCTTCTGCGAAAACTCACAGTTTTCACTGTAACCCAAGACCAACTCCTTAAGGCTTTCCTGGAGAAATTTGAGGCTGCAGATGTCACCCATCACTATACTGTACCCCAAAGTGTAAAACATGACATTTCCTGTTCCCACTAGGTGGCGCTGTCCTTGATGTCAAATATGGCAGTTGAAATATGTTCAGGGCTGGAGCCTTATAATATGTGTGCTCTTTGGCCCAGATTGGACAATGTATGACAGAATGAGAGGCAATACGATTTTCATGGCGAGTCATCGAAATTCGCCGTGGCTCTGCAATTTAACATGGCCCAGGTGTGTAGTTGACACTGACCAAAGATGAAGCTTATACGACCAAATCCCAAGGAGGAATTTGAAAAAGTTTGAGGCATGGAAATGGCAAAATTAGAGTCAAAATGTCACCTTCACTTCTAAATTGCGGACTTCCTGTTGGGTTTGCCTCAATGGGCCCACAGACTTTTTTGTTTGTCTTGGCATGGTACACATGTGTGCCAGATTTCATACATGTAGCTCAAACGATGTGGTCATAGGGCTGTATTTTACAAGGCATAGGTGGCGAATACAGAGCCATTTTCACATGCCCATATGTAAAACCATTAAAATACAAAATTTTTCACCAGACCTGGCATGTGTGCAAAATTTCATGAGTTTTTGAGCATGTTTAGGCCCTCAAAAAGGCCCTTGTTTTGCCTGAATAAGAATAAGAATAAGAATAAGAATAAGAATAAGAATAAGAATAATAATAATAATAATAATAATAATAATAATAATAATAAGAAGAAGAAGAAGAAGAAGAAGAAGAAGAAGAAGAAACGGAGCAGATACAATAGGGCCTTCGCACTCTCAGTGCTCGGGCCCTAAAAAGCTTCAGTCTAATTGCAGCATACTTCAGAAAGATGATAGTGGGAGTTTGAACCCTTTAACGACAAACATTAATGCTTTCGAATCACTTTTTTTGTTAGTTGCACTCCCACAACCCACCAACTAAATAACATCTTGGCTACAACGCCATCAGTATGCTGCTTCTGTTAAGCTACTGGCCTTTTAAGAGCCAAACCCACATTATGTAGTATAAGGTGGTATAATTTCCAGCAAAAGAAATTTCTGGGAATGAGGAATTTGTAGGCTACATCTGTGAATAATCATAAATGTCTTGCACAGCCACTGATGTCAGCGGTTCCAACATTTAGGCAGTAATTTTGTGGTGATGACTTTATCGGCCCCAGTGCTGGTACGTTTTCAGTAAAAATGCATTTAATCAGTTCTAGATTTGGGAGCTGGCACTCAAGTATGTTCAAACAAGTGCATTCACACTAGCATTTATTAGTATCACTGCGATCAATACTGAAAGATCTCAAACAGTATTTGGCTACAACTTTACAGTCTTCTGCACTTCTACAAATGTTTGTCGTACATGTGGGGAAATACTGCTGAAACACTGCTGATATAAAGATGTTGTGAAACTGAAACACCCACTTCCGGAAAAAAAGAATTACTGTAAAAGTGTTTCAATAGCAATCTAAAGTGACCCACGTTTTACACCACTCCTGAATGCATCACTTTCCCTTCAGCGCTCACTTCCTGTGTGGCAGGTGATACGGATTAGAATAATAAAGCCCACCTCCTTTACTCATTACTGAGTTTGCAGAGATTGTGGTACCACGGTGAAAGGCCGTTAATGTGCTTGGGTTTTTCTTTGCTTCCGGTCAAATCATGAAGCTTACAGACAGCAATGTCATTCGGTTCCACCTTCAAGTCCTTTATGGGATCTCTATCAAGAGTCTTGAGAAGAAAAGGGAGAGACTGATGATCAGCGGTTCAAAGATCTTTGGTGTTCCTCTGGAAAATTTGCCCAGGTGTTACATTCCTGAATTTGGGCTTGTACCTTGGTGAGTGGGAAAGGGAAATCATTAAATGTAACTTGGGAGGAACACTTCTAAAACTTTGCTTAATAATTTGTGTCCCAGCTTTTTGGTGGACGCTTGTTCTTTCCTTCTGGAGCGTGGTGGGACTGTGGGCCTTTTCAGAAAACCAGGCTGTCTTGCTCGTATTAAGACTCTCAGGGTAAGAGTCTCAATGTTTGTTTGTTTTTTTAAGTCTTAGTTCCACAATATTTTCTGGAGCAATAGTGCCATCTAGTGGTTTAAGTCACTTTACTGACCTGTCACCTACACTTCTACATTTGCAGTAGTTGCCACATGTTTGTAGGGTACAAATGCAGTCAAATAAAATAGTTTTACGAATCCTTCAAAAAGGATGTTTGTTGAAACTGAATGGGTGTTTCTAATGTTAATTATATCTATTAAACAGTTTACTCTGGTTATAGCTAGACAAACTACTACAACAACACTACATGCAGATATGCTCTTTTTTTTTTTTTTTGCTCTTGTTGTGTCTGGTTTAGGCCAAACTGAATCGAGGAGAGAGTTGTCTGTCCACTGCCCTCCCCTATGATGTGGCCACTCTGATCAAACAGTTTTGCAGGGAGCTGCCAGAGCCGCTGTTTCCCTCGGAGCTTCATGCAGCTATGCTCAAAGCTCAGTCTCTGCCCAACCTACAGGACAGGATGGCAGCCCTCCAGCTGCTGTCCTGTCTTCTTCCTGCAAGAAACGCCTCCTGTTTGCATTACATGTTCGACTACTTGGCAAAAGTTTCCCAGCGGTATGAAAGGATTTTTTTTTTTTAAATTAAACGTTAGCAGAAATTAGTCGCATACACAAAGTGCCGATTTAAAGTCCTTTTTGTCTAGGAAACAAGTGTTTCTGTCAAAGCTGGTTCTGCCCCAGGTTGTGTGCTTCAGATGGAAACAACATGATAGTTCAGGAGACCTGATATTGTTTGTTTTTTTTCCACTGTATGTACTGCTGTCAGATGCAGCGAGAACTTGATGACCAGCTCCAACCTGGCTATAGTCTTCGCTCCATGTCTATTACCCCCACCAAACACGACAGAGATGTCTGAAGGACGGCTTGAGCTCAGAGTTCTTGTTCTGCGCACCTTCATTGAAAATCCTCATTTATTTGGTAAAAGACCAGTTATTTGGTGTTGATAAACAAATTTCAAGTGGCTTTATATGCAATGCTTTATATGCAATGCTTTAATCTGTATGACAATAGGTGTGATTCCCAAAACTGTAATCGATAGTATGGAATATCTGATGAACTTCCATTTTGTGAAAGATGTTGGCTCCAAAAGTAGAAGTAAAAAGCGGCACAGTTTCAAAGGTAAAAAGACCACAGAAGTTACTGAGCAAATCACTCCGTTCAAATTATGTTTAACCAGTTTTTACTATTTGAATTCTCGAGCTTAAATTTCTCAAACGCATGCAGGAATGCGCTCTGTAAAGACGGTGCCCTTGATTCAGGGAGGGTCAAAGCTCAGGCCACCAGAGCAGAGCCACGGGTCCACATCAGGAGACAGACCAACGCTGAGGAGAAGCCTTGGTCTGGATTGTTTCCCCAACATCCTTTTGTTCAGGACCTACATGCCTTCAGCAGGTAATTATATGGCGAAAGAATCAGACTGGAATGTGTGAGAATATTTTATTTGTGCAGTCTAATCTAAAAACCGTTTCTAGATCAAAGCTTCAGGCCTGCAGCAGCTTTGTTGGATGATGTCATTGCAGCTGAAAAAAAGTTAAACAAGATGCCACAAGATGGTCTAAAAAGGTAAACGGTAAAGGTTTATAAATTTAACTTCAGTGTTCACTCTAACATCAGTGACAAATTAGAGAGCTAAGGCTTAGAGTTGATGCTACTTGGTTTCAGCATTTGGTTTCAAGGAGCCGCTTCAAGTAAAGCAAATGTTAACTGTAGAATAAACCATGGTGCTTATCAGCTTTGGCCAAATGCGCACTGTCTGCTGTGTATTTGTTCAATGTGCCTCTGTGCTTTACATATGGATCATCATCAGGTTCACCAGAGGTGTCGATGGCTCTCCTGCAGGAAAACTAAAGCTCATGCTTTGGAGAAGACGCTCGTCACTATAATTCATGCTTGTTTCCCTAAAGTCAAGACCTCTGATCAACCAGGAGGTTGACAAGAGTGGTTTTGGGGGGGGAAGCTATGTTTTATGATTTGTTTTAGTTGTTTTTTTTAACTGTATTTATGTAACAAGAGACTGAACAATGTATGTACGGCTTTCCCATACATTTTTCATTAAATAAAGATATATTTTTAGTCTCCTTTCCTAAAGTCAATTTTATTAAATTTTCTGTGTATTATAGCCGAACCCAGTTTTGAGGAGTCCCATTTCCTTTCTTTATTGTTAAAAAAGAAATTATTGTGAAATATAAGAACATGGAAAACGGAGTAGCCACTACTAAATGGGGGAAAATGCATTTGGGCTCGGATTTGTAGCGTCAGTGTAGCGCTCCCGAAGAGTAAATGGCACTTTGTCATAGCCAATGGGAAAAGTGGATTTGCTGTTTCCTGGCAACTGCATCTGAACCGTGAAACGAGACGGATGCAAGGTTGTAAAATGTCCACGTATGAAGACATCAGAAATCAACTCTTCAAAACAAAACGAGACGGAAAATAAAAAATTTTCACCAAACGCTGCCCATAAACGAATAATGCGCAGAACGCTGGTGAATCGACTTGGGACAGAGTGAATTTAGACGAAAATCTGTGTTTGGCTTTTTGTTCCTCCGCGTTTGTAAAGCTTTATTGTGAAGATCCGGAAATGTGCGTTTTCTTTGTGGACGACTTGACGGAGGTCTCCCTCAGCAGGCAGGGTTCTCCTTAAACGCAAACAAGGTAAGGGGAAAATGCAGAAATCTGATTTTTGATCCTTCGCGATTCCTTTGTAACAACAATAAATAAAAATCTATGTAATTACATGTTTATATTGAGTTTCATTATAAGTGAAGCCGTTTTTGGTTGATGGGGAGCTATTTATAGGCTTTTCACAACGGCCTTAATGGCTCTGTTTACAGAGTAAGTGGCGCATCAAAGATTTATTTATTTTACGGACTACATGATGCCTTGTTTTTGTTTGTTTTGCCCACAATGACATTCAATTCAGGCGATTTTGTCGTATTATGGATCTTTATCCACAAATAATTGCGTATATGTTTATAACAGGAAATTCATCCGTGTTTGCACACGAATAAACATCTGTGAGCTACTGAGTGTGTGTGTGTTTCTCCCTGTAGATAACGAAAATGGGCTCGGCGGTGCGGTTATCGTTACTCAGCCTCCTGCTGTGCCTACAGCTCGGCAGAGCTCCAGCCCGCAGTCCCCGTACGGCTGACCAGGTGTCTGAGGCCGACATCCAGCGCCTCCTGCACGGTGTCATGGAGCAGCTCGGCATTGCTCGGCCCAGGGTGGAGTATCCTGCCCACCAGGCTACCAACATTGTTGGGCCTCAGAGCATACAGGGTATGTTATAGAGATTTATGAAGGATCTTCTAGTTTAAGAATATTGGAGGCAATATTCCCCACCACTTCATCTGTCTTAACTCTGTATTTTTTATTTTTTTCTTCAAATTTTCATCTTGTGGATAAAATCTAATAAAATCTAAACTTGAGAAAAACTTGAAATTTTCAGATAACCTGAAATATTGACTTATGGATGGGTAAAATGGGTAACAGATTTTCATATCCCCTTGAGACCAGAAAAATACTGAATGCTTAAACCCAACGGATATAAACATTAGGGCCATCATAGCTGGAAAAGTGGCAGGAGGGATCCTTGCAAAGCCTAAAATTAAAAGTTTGTTTTTATTTGCAGTTTTTCACCCTTTACAAATGAAGCCAAGTGGTTTAGTCCACACCATACTCTACAGCTAATTTATTCTATCAAAGTGGTAGCTAATGGACAAGAAGGAAGAAGTGGAGAGGGAGAGGACACGCACTCAGTGAGCTGTTAACAAAAAGAGAGACGAGTCTATGAATGGTTTAGCTATCAGTAGTTGTTTAAGGCAGTAAAGTGGTGTCAGATGTGACTCTGTGTCTATGAAATAACCCACCACAACTTAGCACAATTAAAAAACAATCTGCAAAACCATCAGTCTTTTCTTTCTGATGACATTAAAAGAACACTAACAAAAAATGGCCATAATATCATATAAGGTTAATTGTAAACTTGCTTTATGTTTAGAATTGCTCACAGTTATCAGTATAATCACATTTACAGTTATTATGGTTTGCCTTGACCTCTGACCTCTGATATAGTTGAGTACTAAAAAGACTAAGAACAATATTAGGCTGCAAGCAAGTTAAGAGGCTAATCTTGATCCTGTATGCTTCATTCTGTGTAGCAGACACTGAGCAAGATGATGCGATAAAGACTACCGTATGTTGAGAAATAAATGTTTAAAATGTGTGGAGATTTCAAACTGTGCAGACTTACAGGCACATCATAGATTTTTATTAACAATCTTATTCAGTTCAATTCAATTTTATTTATATGGTGCCAAATCACAACAACTGTTCCCTCAAGGCACTTTATTGTGTAAGGTATAGACCCTAGAATAATACAAGAGTTGATAATACAACATTATATGAACAGTTCCTTGCCTGCTATCGTGATGACAGCTCAGTTATTCATTCAAAAGCAATCAAAAATGTACGAAAGATTTGGATCATGAAAGGAAGGGGGACCACAGTTCTGTGCTTGCCCCCCTGGTAAACAAAGCTAGTTGGACTTGGAAGACATGTAACGCTGCATTTATGATTTTGTTGAGACTGTAGTGTCTGATTTCCCCACCAGGTGGTGCCCATGAGGGACTGCAGCATCTAGGCCCCTATGGAAACATCCCCAACATTGTGGCAGAGCTCACAGGGGACAATGTTCCCAAAGATTTCAGTGATGACCACAGCTACCCAGACCCACCAAACCCCTGTCCCCTGGGAAAGACGGGTAGGAATTCTTCCCCTGTGCAGAGTATTTTTAAAAAAACACTCATTTCTGCAGAATCAACACAGGCCTTTTAAGGGGCTAATGGAAAATCTTGCTATTAATGCTGTTTTTAAGAATATGCATAGTTTTTCCATCTTCTTTTTGGCCTTTAAGGAAGTAATGACATAAATAAGTGCATTAATCGCTTTCTGATTCACTGCTAGCCTTTTCCAGAACACACATCGCTTGCCTAATGAACAGAAAAAAGTGACTCCCTCTCTGCTACCTATTTATTGCATACACAGCAGCAGATGGATGTTTGGAAAATGCTCCTGACACAGCTGAGTTCAGCAGAGAGTTTCAAAAACACCAGCACCTGTTTGACCCAGAACATGATTACCCTGCCCTGGCAAAGTGGGTGAGTACAAAACAGGACCTCAGGAATCGATTAATTTAATTATAGACTAATTACTTGGTTTATTTTGATTTATTGATTTTAATTTATTCTACTGCCCAGAGTCTCAGATTATTTGATAGCTAGAAGAAGTCCAGAACACAGAAAGATTTACCTCATAATGAAATGAAAGAGAGTAAAGCAACAAAGTAGTAATACTGCATAAATAATTTTCAGCAGGAGATCAAATAAATGTGCATTTGGAACACCAGAGTCATCATGATCAGGAGCAAATCACAACAACAGTTGCCTCAAGGTGCTTTATATTGTAAGGTCAAGACGGTACAACAATACAGAGAAACCCCTCGAGGTTTTCAAGCAATCATTAATTGATCGCAATCCACATCTCCACAGGCCAGGTTGGATGCATTAAAATCAAACTACCATAAAAATGAGAAGCTATTAATTTCTTTGTAAGGTGCAAACTTGCAAAATCAAATATTTTCCCAGTTTTAGTTTTGGTAGATACTGCAGACAGTTACGTTAAAATAACAAAGATTGGAAATAATGGAAAGCCCTCTTGATTGAATCATCACTTGGCATTTCTTTGTGCGCAGCTGGAATTCTCAGTCAGCTTTTCCCATATTGCTTCACATATTTGGGTGTTATTCACTATTAACCACATGGGCCACTTTAAGGTAAAGTACAGACTACAGATTGCCAACTGCATCATCTTACCTGCCAAACATGGCTCCTAATTCATTTGAGGTATTTGGACCATATTTGCTTTTTTACCATTTGAGGCTCATGTCAATTTTCCAAGGTCAGAAAAAGGCCATCAGTGTCAGCTGTTTGCCAAAAGAGGCTTATATAAGCCATTTTTTGCCATCGGAGATGGCAACATTGCAACAGTACTCATACTTGTGGATTCTGGGGTTCTGCTGCATTTCTAACCGCAGAAACAAAAAGTCAAGACTTCTGTTATTTGAAAGATCAGATAAAAGTTTCTTGTAATTAGCATGGATCCATTTCCCAGTTTGTCCTCTGATATGTCTGGTCTGAGGAAGTTACCCACTGAGAACACTGGTTTTTATTCCCTAAAAGGAGCATTCAAACAATTTGTTGAGCGTAACAAATGAATACATGATTTTAGATCTGAAATCTGCTTTTTTATTCTTTTGTTTTCAGAACAAGGAACTTTTGTACCAAAAACTGAAGGGTGGACCAAAGAGAAGAAAACGGGTATACTATTTCTTGGTTGTCTTTTTGCTTTTCCTGTGTGGGATTGTGTCTGAGAAATCACAAAACTGAGCACTCTGCACTGAGTTTAACCCCTGGTGGGAGTTAAGCCAAGAGTCACACTTTGAATTTCTGTTGAATTTAATCAGATGCATGCAACTTATAGACATGTTTATAAGTTTGTGTACAAACAGTTTTATGCTTGTGTCCACAGAGTGTCAACCCATATTTATTGGGCCAGAGGTTGGACAATGTCGTTGCCAAAAAATCAGTTCCTCACTTCTCAGAGGAAGAGGAGGAAGACGGACCTTCTGTCCCCGCTGCCAGCAAATCCACAACCTAAACTCCTGCAATACCCACTGCAATATTACAATATACTGTCAGATAAAAGGTTTTAATAATTTAAGCATTTTGGTTAACAGTCAGTGGGTCTTTGTGTGTGTTTTGTAAATGCTTTGTTTGATTGTATTGCAAAAACATGGGATCTGTCAAGTTGTCTTTTGGTTTTAAAAAAAATGTTATTTCTTGATCTCAGAGCTTTACAAACAGCAATTACAATGGACCTTGTTCTTTTCTTTTTTTTTTTTTTAAAGATTGAAAAGCTATTTTTGGTCGGTAGTTTGAAATCTTGCCTTGGCAATAAAATAGGTTTTCCCTGAAACAACTCTGTCTCTTAGCAGAAATGCTCACAAGTGAGATATAGGAATGAAAAAAGATCAGCCTGCCATGATATCTGTCATACTGTATTTATTAAAACACTGAAGATCTGGGCTCTTTATAGGGGGAAAAGGAGATCTCAGTTCATTTATACCAACTGTTTGCTTCTTTTCTTATTTTTAAGAGACGTAACACACTACCACATTGCCAGAGAATTAACCCTAAATCAACCCCAAAATAATAGAATATATGCTGGTAAATACTGATCTGACAGTGTACAGTATATCTATCCCTCTATCATAACAATACTTTGTATAAATATATTGATCTGAACGAATGTTATATCAAAGTTTTTCTTGGATGTACAGAGATTGGTTTATTAATACAAATTCATTTTGTATGTGACGAATTACTTTGGTGTCTTGTGTAAGAAGTGTATTTCTATTTCCAATCAAATACTTGCCAGTAATTCTGGTAAAAGTCTTACTTTGCCATTCAAAGGATGATGGTGCAATACTTCACTATAGCATGTTCAGTATTTATTCACTGGGTTGCTTCATCTTGTCTAAATGGTTGTGTTCTGTTAAATCAAATAAACGGTTTATCTGCATCAACAAAGTTTGGAAGAGGATTTTGATTTGCATTCACAGACAGGCAGGATGGAGTGGATATGGGTTTGGGGGCGTGTTCTGGAGAAACTCAAAATTGGATATCTCCTCACTGTGTAATCCATAAAACCACAACTGAGGACGGCGGACCTCTAGAAGACACGCATGCTGACTGGATAATTGTTTTCACGCTAGGAGTTTAAAAAAAAAAAACAACCCAAAAACAGGTAACTCCACTTAACAGATATTGGTTCTGAAATGTGTATAATATATATATAACCTGTGTATAAAATTATCCACTGCTTGCTTCTATGGTGCTTTATGTGTGCGTAAAAGTTGTGCGTAAATTCCTTTCCATCGAGGACTTAACTTTTGTTCCGTTTTCCTTTCAGGTTCAACGATGCAGACACATTCAGTGCAGAGCTTTGCAGTCGTTTTGGCACTGCTACTCACCCCGCTGAATAATACGAAAGCTCAGAGCTTTCAAAGCGCGTTTCCACAGCCAAACAAACACAGCCCGAATGAATCGTCGACGTGTGTACAGCCCCCTCTTATTGGATTAATTTCTCGCGCAACGGGGCCAGTAACCTCAACATACGAAGTGCCGGAGTCCAGCCAGGAAGCGCTGCACGTCACAGAGCGTAGATACCTGCGGCTGGACTGGTGTAAGACACAGCCGCTCAAGCAGACCATAGAGGAGGAGGGCTGCCTTCGCCGCACCATCATTAACAGGTTTTGCTACGGACAGTGCAATTCCTTTTACATCCCGCGGAACAAGTACCAGGACGGAAACGCCTTTCGCTCCTGTTCGGCCTGCAAACCCAAAGCCTTCAGCACCGTCACATACACCCTCCTCTGTCCGGGACAGACGCCCAGCACTAAGAGGAAACGAGTCCAGCGCGTAAAGCTGTGCCGCTGCACTACTATCGATATGGATTAGCCACAAACTAAAACATGCTGGGCAGTAATATTGTCTTCTGTGAAAAATATAGAAGGGAGAGTCTATTTTGCTTAAAAGGCGCATAAGTTGGAATAGAAAAGTGAGGAACATGCTTGAGCCTTTTTGGGTGGAGAGACAGTTGACCACTAAATCTGCTAAAAGACAGTACACACTGCTAAGTGGGAGATTCATGTGTCACGTTCTGTATAAGGTGATAATTTGACCAGCAAATACAACTTTACCACACAATGACCAAACATCTGCCAATTATCAGTCGCCGCTTGCAGTTTTGTGAGTGTAAACAGACTTGGATGTGTTGGCACATGCATTTGCAGACAGGAAGTTTTAGGCCAATGCGAACCGTTGAGGTGCAGGCTGGTTTGCGGCAGTCCAGTGACAAAATTTGTCCAAACAAACAAACAAAAAACCCAACAAGCTAATGGATGTGCAAAAATATAAGATGACTTCAGAGGTTGCATTGTTTCCACTGTGTGGGACATGGAGCTGAAGGTTTTAGAGACATACACTTTTATACATGCACTGCTAAAAGCCACTTGATTTCATGGCTGTGCATAATTTGTGTATCATTCATTGTAATGGCACTTGTAAATAAAACTGCATTCAAGCTATTGCATCACAGTTTTCTATGAGCAATGATTTTATTTGTGGAAAAATATTGTAAAAGATTTGATTTTACAGTTTAGATTTGATGCAAAAATGTATCTGTCTATACACAGTTGAAGCTGTTACTTATGTCTAAATATTGCACAGAAGATTTTTTTTAATATTTAAAACTTAAATATATGTTAGACGACAAGTTATAATATGGTTATAATATAAATCTTCCACTTAACAAATACAAGTAAATACAAGTAAATAAATAAACTACATTTTTCAAGGACCATGCATGTTTGGTACCCTTGCTCACATCCTGTTGGATCCAGCTTTGTGAGGACATAATCCGGTGGTTAGAATGATTTGGATATGAACAATTTTTTTTGGTTTCTTTAAGTTGAAGATATGCTGGCTTCTTTCTGACGCAGTCGCTCTTTCTGTTGGGAGCAAATTTAGACTGGACTGAGAAAAGAAGAAATTTCCAAAAAGATTTTCTATTAAGTCGATAAAAGCAGCAATGCTAAAAAAGTAACTTTGCAAGAGAATTACTGAGTTGGTATGAGTTGATCTGTTTTTCACATTTAAGGCCTAATTCCACAAATGTCATCTAAGGCAAATCTTTTTGCTTCCTCAGTAAATCAACTGATTCCAGTCTTACCAGGCTGCTGGGGTTGGTCTTTCTCGTCTCCACCTTCTTCTCTCCGGTAATCCTCTTCACTGACTGCTGAGCCTCTTTTAACCTGCAAAGTGAAGCATTTAGTAAATGAAAACACTCCAGAGAACCACAATGAGGCCAAGCTATTCTATAAATATGCAGCAAAACGTAAAGTAGAGAAATAGAAATGTGCAAAATACTCTTTAAGCCAGCAGTTACAGATGCACCTATACGTTGGATAAACACTGATGCCAGCTAATATATAAACAATATCACCTTTACTGATGTCACTTAGAGATATTTGCCTTTTGTGTCAGATTAATGTTGAATTGGTTAAATGTTAAAAAAGACTAATAAAGAGCTAAAAGGATTCATAACAGTTTTCTAATATCAGATATAATTGTTATGTTTCATTCTTATGTTGCAATAATTAAGTGAAGACAAACACATTGTTTTCCCACACAGGGTATCGGTAAGGTCTTTATTAGAGGATTATATTTCTTTAGTTTTTAATTTAGTGATTCCCCTTGAGGTGGTTTTTGTGAACCTGTCTACAAAGGGTGACACACACACACACACACACACACACACACACACACACACACACACACACACAGCTATTACTTACCTCTCTTTAGAGATATTCTTGTTCTCCCTTTTCCACCTGATCTTGAAGTCGGCAGAAAACTCAAACCAGAGCATGAAGAAATAGCCAGCTGTCACCTCCGTCTCCCCCGTCTTAGGCATTACCCCAAAGTACAGGATCAAGTCCTCGAAACTGAAAACAAGTATTTAAAAAAATCAAGATCAAAATTTAATTTTATCTTAGTGTTTGTGTCTCCTCTCATCTAAAAACATAACCCAGGTCCTCTGCTTTGTCCTCCTCAGCACTTTGTTTCAGTTGATCACTGCAATACCTGTTATTACACTTCTATGGTATGATGTTTGGCCTGTTACTACGAAAGTATTTATAGACATGAAAAAAAGACAAAAAGAGATATGATAACAAAGAGTCACAACGTAGCTAAAAGAAATGGAAAACAATGGGAATAACTAAAAAGGCAAAAAAAAAAAAGAGTTGCAAGATAATAAAAAGAAAAAAAGGGAGGGAAAATGGGAAAGTGATAAAAATAGACACAATATTATGAATGGATGAACTGCAAATAGCTCTAGGAGCCAAATTCAGATAGAGACCTGCATGCGGCACATGAATGAACAACTTAATTTTCCTACCTTTTTCGTACAGTCATCATCTGATAAGAAGCTTCAGCGTGCTCTTTTCGTGCTGTTAAAAAAGTGTGCCGGTAAAAAGTTTAGTTTTTGCAAGACTTTCCAAAAAAAAAAAAAAAAGATTAATTTTAAACTTTATGGAAAGTCTGTGAATCTAATTATTCATAGTTACACAATAAGATCCTCTTGTATGATGATGACCTTGTCTAATGGAGCCAGACAACCATTTGGTCTTAAAACACCAATTATGCAGTCAATGGAGCCATTCTTGCTATTATGCCATTATGTCAAATAACAGGTAGGCTACTTGTTATCTGTGTCTGTCTCTCTGTAATGTTTTGGTAGTCTCCTTCAGACCCAGAACAATAAAAAAAAAATCAATTTTAAAAAGCTACAGAAATTACCCACTAATGAAATTTGTAAATAAAGACACACCCTCTCATAAAACCCAAATTCCAGTTCTTGTTTGAAGACTTTTTTTTAAAGTCTTGTGGTTTAAATCACATCTATATTTATCTAAGAGGAAGAGAATGCAGGAGGATAAACTTCAAATCTTAGAACAAAAGATAAAGTCTTGGAAAAAGATCCTGCATGCAGTCCAATTGTCTGGTGTAGTTTTAGAACAAATAAAACAAATGGGAGACAATAGACAAAAGATGATGATCTGAATAGGCGGCTCTCTTAAAGACACTGATTTTGAAGCTTGATTGTGATACCTTTGTTACTGGGTGGAGAGGAAAAAAGATGACGCTCACAAGAAGAATTATTAAGTATTCACTGAATACTCAAACGTGAAATGGGTCACTATAAACATTTTACACAACATGGAATTCCTCAGCTCATAAGAGTTAACTTTTTTTGCAGTGAAAGAGCCCCATAGAAGGCCCAGTGCCTGTGTGTCTCAGCCATTGCCAAATCTGTCTGATCCCTATCTGAGTGTCTAGGCTGTACTCTGAATTCATTCTGTCTCCCTCACATACAAATACCAAAGACACTCCATTGGTAATTTTCAGGCTACTAAAGACCCAAAGACTACATTTATAAGAGGCAAGGAAGGACATGTCTTGATTGAATGACAAATTACTTAAAAAAAAAAAAAGAATCAACAGCAAACAGAAAACAGGTACAAAGATATCTCTTTGAAGCAATGACTCTTGCTTTTCTATGAGGGCTGGGGGGACTTTTACATGTCTGTCGACAGTATGGCTATCTAATAATCTGCTCATGAGTAGGGGTTATGGGGAAATAATTGAGGATAATTAAGAATGTGAAGAAGAGCAGTCAGTTTTTTAAGTGCAAGCAGGCAATTACATGTTAATTGCAGTAGAAGCTGCACGGAGCTTGGAGGATATTCAAAACAACAAAAATCTGTCTTTCAAAAGATTTTAACGCTTTTAAAACTGAGCTCATAATGTCAAATATTCAGCGTGTATGTGACCGTACTTCTCAATCATATTTCAAAAGATGTGCGCAACATTTAATTTCCTTGCTGGAATAATCATTACAAAAAATGTCATGGGAAACAAAAACTAAGTAGACTCCATAATTCAATAGCTTGTAGCACCACCTGTAGCAACAGTAACTACAGGTCTCATTCTCTTAATGATAAAGTCATATAGAGGAATTCTGGCCCACACTTCTTTACAACACTGTTTCTGTTGATTGAGCCTTGTGGGCATTTGTTTATATGAATGTGTCTCGTTTTCTCTTACAGCTGATGTGACTGCTGTTTGTGCTGTCTTTGCTTTCTGCCACATGCTGCACTGTGCATTGTGACCAAACATCTCCACTTTGGTCTCATCTGTCTAAAGGACATTGTTCCAGAGGTCTTGGGTTTTGCCCAACCCTGGGAAGATTATAGCATTGTGTCAACACGCCTGAATGACCCAGTCGAGGAAACTACCAGAACCTCGACTTTTATAGGGATCAATTAATCAACCATATTTTATTCGCTGTATCTGGCTGCTAAATACCCTCTTAGTTCCTGTGGAAGCACTGTGGGCGCACTCTTTTTTTAATATGACTGTATCTCATTGATGTTTTTACATAACACATTAAATGAATGGTAACTCCTCACCACTGAGCACAAAAGCCTCCATCTTGTCTTTAAATGGCTGCAGGTATTCTTCAGGAGAGTCAGAGCAAACCTTCTGTACGTCTTTCTCGCACCCTGAAAAGAACACAATGATGACAAAATTCAGGAAGCATTACACTTTCAATATTTAGACAAAATTTCAGATAAGAGCCTGGAGAAGATTGAAGCTATGAAGAACATTTCTCTCTTCTTCTCTTTGTAACAATTTACGGCTTGTTTAAAATAACCATAAGAAGAGAATAAGACAACAAACACGTTTAAAGGTGACCTTTATGCCACCATCTTTTGTCTGAAACCAGAAGATGCTCAGATGCATTCCAGATTTGTAATTTCTGCCTTAAAAAACTATCCTATATTTGTTTATTTGTTTCCAAGTTTAAATATTGGACACACTCGTCTGAATTGGCAGTATTGTAAAGCTAGTATTGGGTTTTGTCAGTTTTAATGATGTTTTTAATACTACAAAATAAGTAATTAAGACCTTTCAATAGGGTTCTCCGGGGTTCTTCATTTATGTATAATTATATGACTTCATTGACTTTTCCACCTCATTTTGTGTCATTACTGTTTTAGCTGTATGTAAGAAAATTCTCAGTGCTACAATTATTTGACATGGTCAATAATCAATAACAGAATACTTTACAAAGACATAAAATGGATTTATAGAACCAGCAGTTAAATCTGATAAAATGCCTTTTTTACCCCAACATCTACAACAACCTCGGCTATTGCTCAATTCTCCCACAGATTTAAATGAAGGATTCTTCAAGTGTCATGTCTTTTCTTTATAAGGTCTCTGTCAGACGTGCAGATTCACATAGAGAAGGACGAGCTCTGGGTTGAACTAGGTCCACCTGTACCCCAGCGTGAGGTTATCTACGCCGCTTCCTCTTCAGATATCACTAGTTGAGATTCGTCCAGAGATGGCGACTGCTCCTCTCTCTCTCCCTTTTCCCCTTCCAGTCTGCGGCTCCACGTTGCTGTGTCCAATCAGTGGATCACAGGAGCCAGTCTGTGGAGCCAGTCATAATATAGGCTGAACCAACCCCACCCCCACCCCGATGCTCGATCAACATCTTTCAGATAAGATTACAAAAGAATACTGTTTTCATTCGGGTTTGTGTAAACTGTAGAGGCGCGTATCTCCCTCTCTTTGCATTGTGTGGGGAGCCTTTCTTTCTTCTGTCTGCCTTTTGGGCCTGACAGACGTTTGCTTATTTCAGACTGAAGAGAGTTATGGACCTTCATGTAAATATAGCTGACTTCAGATGTGAGACTGCAATTACACAAACTGCACTGAAACAATGATTTTGATTCATAGTGAGGGATAAATGCTTTCTTAAGGAGGTTGACAGTATTTTGTGATGATATGCTAGAATTATTCATCTCTCAAATTACACCATTACTTCTGTAGGGGGGTAGTTTATATAGGACTGGTTCAAGTGACATTTTTAACAGTGTTCTTTACTTTGGAACAAGACAAGCAAATATGAAATTTGAACATTGTCCTTGTTTTATCCTTCCTTTTTTCTTATTTATTTGAGCTAAGGTCTTAAAGTGATGGCTCCACTGCCATTGCTCACAAAACAAGACAACACTAGTAGCTACACCTACAGCTTTGTGAGTACTTTGTGCTAGATGTATTGAAGTTTTGCAAACACATGACTACTAACCACATGATTTTATCTTTTCTCCACAATTCTGGACAAGTCACTGGTGAATATAGCCACAGTCACACAGGCTACTGGTAATGAGCGGAAAATCCTTGACCAGTTGGCAAGTGGTTGCTGGAGGCTGATGGCACTAGCCTGGAAATTGTTTGCTAAAGACCCAGTAAAAAAGACCCACAGACCAGTCAGTGACCTTCTGGCAACACGTTTCACTGAGTGTATATTTCCTGTCCGAGGCAAAAACCTTCTTTAGATAGTTTTGGTTGCTAGCAGTGTTGGGTGTAATGCGTTACTAAGTAACGCGTTACTGTAATTAAATTACTTTTCCACTGAAAAAGTAGAGTAACTAAATACTGTTCATTTTTAGGTATTTTAATTACAGTTACTTACAATGTACTTGCATTACATTGTAAAATAATTAAACTCGCTGAATATCATTATTTAATTTCAATAATTTATCTTCTAAACGTAAAAGTAAACTCTGCCGCTTTAACATCGCTGTAGTGCAGCTGTACGTCATTTCCCACCAGTTTGCTGCATAGTTGTATCCTAAAGCGGAAGATGTCGGACTCGGCTGAAGCGAGTGGCTGCTTTATGAAATGGAAATATTCCCGTCTCTTCACTTTTCTGAAACAAGCAGACAAGAATATTACAGTAATATGTAAGCTATGTCCTGGGGAGAAAAAAACTATCGGCCGCTGTTAATAGCAGGAGTAATCTACTGAAGCGCCTGACACGAGAGCATAGACGAACACTTCTGAGTGATTCTTGTTCATCATCCATGGATAACACCGCGGCAGCTCCTGCTAAGCAGGCAAAATGTGATTTTACTTCAGCAGCACAGAAAGCGTCTGAAGGTGAGCTTAAAAACATTATTGCAGGCTACATTGTGGAAGAGATGCTACCGCTGCATACTGTAGAGTCTCCGTCTTTTTAAAAAAAATGTATTTATTATTTAAAGAGTTTAATTTCTATTGTTTGTCCACTCAAGGTTTATAGGGATTTTAAAAAGTATCACACCACATTAGAACATCAGCTTTTATATTGTAAAGTAAAGACCCTACAGTAATATAGAAAAAAATGCCTACAATCAAATGACCCTCTAGGAGCAGGCAATTGGCAACAGTGGGAAGGAAAAACTCCTATTTCACAGGAAGAAAACCCGAGCAGACATCTGCCGTGATTGGTTGCCCAGAGTTTGCAATTTACCTTCAAACACTCACCAGCTCTCCAAGCAGCAGTGAAACTGTGAAAACTGGAAACCGAGAACATTTACTTTCAAAATAAAAGTGGCACATGCATTTGTTGGTGCAGCAGCCTCTTTATGACAGATTTCACAAAACAACTGCCAGCAACCTACAGCAACCAGTCCGGGAATATTCTTTTCCCCCTCGCAGGCAGTGGTTGTATCATGTGAAACATCATGGATAGCTCTTGATCACTGTGTGCATGGCATATACAAGTATATAAGCACTAAGCCAAAAATAAAAAAATAAAAAAATTGTAATTTGATATAATAAACTGTGTGGAGAATATAAAAAGGTGTACCAAATACAGCAATAACCAATCGGACAGTTGTTGAGTTGTTATTAAGGAAAACCAAGAAATCACCAGAGTCGAGAAATCACTTAGGACCATGAATGCTTGTGCAAAAATATATGCATCTACCTGTAGGTGAAATAGCATGGACCAGCACAGACACAGACTGCTAGCATGGCTGAAACCATGACTGATATACAATAAAAAACAACTAAACAAAAAAAAACCCTTTTGCAACTCTGTGGCTCAATAAACTACTTTTATTGCCACTGTAACAGACACAAGAAAATTTAAGGCCCAAGAAGGGTACACAATGTGTAGTTTTAAAAACCCAACTACAGATATAAATCCAAATCTGCATAGCTAGTTAGCTTTATTAATAATTTGAATGAACTTCCCAATGAATAACCCATGTAAATGCAATATAGTCTCAACATGGATGACTTAAGAGAAGTTTAACCACAACAAACAGAAAGATTTCATACCAGCCAAACAGAAAACAGAGGGAGAGTGACGAATGACAAAAGCAAAGCCTCAAACCAGGCATGAGGGCAGTTCAAACAGGCAGAACAAAAGGAACCTGCGACAGGCAAACCAGATTGCACGGTGGTTTGGGTAGACAGTGCGATAAGACAAAGCTGTGTTGAGAGGTAAAGAAAGCTATCTGTGGCACACATCTGGGGGCCACACTGGAGCCCAGGTGATACAGGTTAAGGATCCGTGCATTTCTGCAAAGATACCAGAGATACTAGGGGTCTGGAGATTACATAAGTGGGAAGCTACGGTCTCCCTGCACTGGCGACAGGGGGACAAAGCAACAACGATGGGAGATCTGATGGGCTAAGGATTAGAAGCTGGATCTGAAAGGCGCCAGGCCAGTATCAGCAGCAAGACTCCTGCTAGTCTCAGAATACATGCACATAAACACGCATTCAACAAAATGCATGCAAAATCACATGCATACGTAGGGACACAACAATGAACTCACTCATAATCATACTCATGCACAGTAAGCATTGTCCTCAGAATGACTTTTAACTGAGCGGCAGGCTGAATGGCGTCATATGCGCACACTTAGGCAGTGAAAAGAACACGCAAAAAAGGATTAGAAAGACAAGAGGAAGTCTTTTGTTCTTGAGCTTTCACTAACATGAGTTTGCTCACAGAGGAAAGCCGTTGGCCTTAAGTATAAACAGCTACTCAATGGCTGGGGCCAGTGATGGGAAACCAGGGTAGTGAAGGTGGGTGGGGGATGTCTGTGGAAAAACGATGCCAGACTGAGCCAAAGTTTGGTCTGTGGGAACCTCTGGAAAGTATCAGAAAATCACACTGACAGAGTTACACTGGCTGATTTTTTCAAACAAAAGCACACAACAAAATGACCACAAGTTGAGAATACTCCTGGTCACCCCAGTCACATGGAAGCTTGCCATCTGTCTGGAATGTGTGCAACCATCTAATAATATTAACTGAGAAAAGGGGACTGAGTCTGTTTGTTATTCTTCTTTTCAAAAACTCAGAGAACAGGAGATGGTATGGTAACGTCACGTACTTGTCAGATCTCGTCCAAGATGTCTCAGATCTCTGTCGAGGTCAACAAACTTGACCTGCGCTGCCAGGAAGATGTCCTGCGGTTCAGGAAGAGGGAACATACTCTTCTCTGTGCCTGCATTCTGGAAGGTGAAAACATTTTAGAAATGCATTACATCTGTGGATGCAGTGTGTGTGATGCTGAGTTAGGTAATTCCCAGCTGAAGGACGAGTCCAAACCTGTGTTTTATTGTCTAATATAGCCAATTTTCATAAGAATACAACACAAACACATCAATTTCTATGAAGGTAGTTCCATTTTAAGCATGCTAATCTACAATAAGGGCAGCTGTGGCTCAGGAGATAGAGGAGGTCATCCACCAGCTGGAAGGTCATGCATGCTGAAGCACCCATGGGCAAGATACTGAACCCTTAGCACTGTATGAATGTGTGTGTGGTGTGCTTTGAGTGCTCATTTAGGCTACTACATTTATTTTTTCAATTGCAGATTTTTTTTAAAGTACCTTGTCCACATTGTGCAAGTAATATGACACCACGTAATCCACCAGGCTGATGCGATTGTCCTGAGAAGAAATGGAAGGACAACATGAAAGCTGGATGAACGATGAATGTAATGGACTCTTTTACCTAGAGTTTGGTCTCAAGCTACACATTCTAGTTTTGTCATTGGCAGATGCTGCTGAGGTTAAGCTTATGAGTTCAAATCTTCTTCTTTGTTCTGTTCTTTTAAGTACAAGACCAAACATTCTCCCAGGAACAGATGCTTTATCTGAACACATACACAAATATGGCAACAGAGCACACCTTTTTAAAAGGTATCAGGAGTTGGGGTTTCAGTAAATGCAACAAACAAATTTCTATTACTCTTAATTTAAATTTCTTTCAGTAATAAGTATTGTTTTTCACACACCCTGATTTCACTGGCTTTTGAAGCCAAATCCTTGCCCTTCTGCCCACACTTATCACTGTGATAGACGATAATAACGGCACTTTATCGAATCAAGTCTGACTATTCTACTTTCCCCTCCACCTATACCACTGCAGGTTCTTTATTATGATGTATTTCACACCTACTTTCCCTCATCCTCGTGTTAGATTACAATCTCAGGCCAAACACTTTGCACACTTCCTGTGCTCTGTTCTGAAAGGCAGGCAAAAGAGCCACAGTGACTCCGTAGGTATCAAGGCCTTACCCTGCTCTTTACATCTTTGAGTTTTGGAAGGATTTCCAGGCCAAAGCCGTCAGCTTGGCCTCTAATCCTGCTTCCTCCATTCATGTGGTTCCCAAGAGCCAACACCAGTCCCATCACCTTGCTGACACTGTCGCTCTCCAGCAGAGCCTAGATAATCAACAGTTTTTTTCAAGACTGGGGTTCACGCCACTCCATGTCACATTATTTACTGGCCACCTTCGATGAATGTCACGTGCTTAGCTCACCTTACAGACATGGAAGACAGTGTTGAGCTTGCGTTGAATTGAGGCGATCCCATCGATGAAGGCTGACTGGAAGATGACACAGCGAGCTCTGCCTGCGAAGTCTGGAATCTGAGATAGTTCATACAGGAACCTGGAGCACAATCACATAAACACTGAGAGTCCACAATGCAATGACATTACCCATCCCTGTTAGAACTGTCAAATCAGAAGGTCTGGTATTTGTCTATTTAGTCCACAAATACAATCAATTACTGCTGTGCTCTCTAAACATCTGCTGAGGCACTCACTGCTCAGGTTTGTCCAGCAGCTTAACATCCTCTTCTTCTGACGTCTCGTAGTGTTTCCTGATCCTCTCCAGCTCCTCCGGCAGTGCTCTCTGCCAAATTGATAGCAACTTCTAAATTAAAGGTTCATCGTTGTACACAATTGTCTCACACAATTACGTGCCTAAATGCGTACATTTTCATACAGCGCTTCAATGGTCTCCAGGTCCACCACAGAGTGATCCACTGTCAGTACAGCTAGAAGTAAAAATACACAGAGAAAGGAGAGAGATTTAAAAAAAGCTGTGATTCATATATTGTCAGATCCAACTCAGAACCTATGTATGTATATATATATATATATATATATATAGCAGGAAAATAGCAGGAAAATAGAAATAACATGTCTATGTGGTTAGAAACTGATCAGGAGACAGTATACTGCAAAGGAAGAAATGCTTACTAGGCTTCATTCACAATATTCCTCCTAGTATTGATCATTTATTGCTGAAACAATAGTGATCGCGTATTTTGACTTATGCCAAAGTTCAGTGGACAAGAGTAGAGAAATTTATCATAGTACTCACATTTTAACACACTCAACCAGACAAATTCTAAAGATTGCGAAGGGAAGTGACAACGCTTTTCTAAAGTTGCTCTTCTGTATCAATGATGGATAATCAATACATATGATATCATAAACGTATCCATGGAAATACAAAAAAATAAATAAATAAAATGCATTGACAAAAAATTAGCTTTCATGCTCCTCTTCCTGAAAGACAGTCTACTGTTTGCTCCAAAGATTTTTCAGTTTTGGATTAGAAATGCATATTGCCCGTCTTGCTGACATTGTGGTGAGCGTTTGGGCCACTAATCCTGCTTCAAATTCACCCCCAGCTCATATTCAGAGTGAAATACAGGGTACATTCTCTGTGACGCCGCGATTAAAGTCCAACCAAGGTTTATGTTCAGGGAGCTGTGGTTACCTGAATGTTTACTGCAGGTTCAAATTCTCAGACTGGCTGGGAAACCCAGCTAGTTTAGTGACCTACTGTAATCTATCTCTCATGTGATGGAAAAGATGATTACATGCACTTGGAGGATTTAACAGAGATGAGAATCTAAACGCTGTTCCAGAGGCTTTCCACCACAAGACGGTAAAAATTTGAAGATATATTTATTTATTTTGTTAACCTTTATTTATCTCAGAGAAAGGACTTGTGAAATTTAAAATCCCTTATGCAAGATTGTTCAAGACAGGCAGCAGCACCAATGTGTGTAAGCACCTATCCTTTATAAGCAAAACATACTTTAAATAATATGCCTGTTACATGTTTTACATTTTGACTGGTTATTGCATTTTGCCATCTTTTATATTTTACTAGAAAACTGTTTTGATTTTATTGTTATTTTACAGTTCTGCGTAAAAGTCTTGAGTCACCCTTCATTTCTTTATATTTGGCTCAGAAAATGTGAAAAATAGGTGCAGCGATTCTCTGACAAGAATTCCCATTGATAGCTGGCAGGCAATGTCACTGGTGGGACAATGCGTGGATGGCCAGTCCGGGCTCTGAGGAGGCCAATCCATGACTGATTGTGCTGTATTGTGTGCTTCTATTCAGTTATACTTTTACTGCACTGGCAGTTTGCTTGGGATCATTGTCATGCTGAACATGAAACCATTACCAATCAGATGCTTTCCAGTTGGCATTGCAAGTTCATGAGCACGACGATTCTGTTAAAAACAATGAAATTCAATTCACCTTTTTTTTTTAAATTGGATCATGATAGAGTCCAGTTTTGCCTGTTATCAGTGTAGAAACAAAACGTTGTTTCCTTGCAGTACAATGAAGGAGTGAAATGACCTCACCTTGCTGAATATCTTTCATCTCAAGGTGGAGGCTTGATATGAGGATGCCCACAGCCTGAGAGCGTTTACCATCCAACAGTTTAATGATCTAAAACACACACAAACATGGTTACCATGACCACCTTACCAGTAGAAACCATTAGCGAGTCCTGAATAGAGAGCCTAGCATTTCATACCAGCGTTTCCATTTTCTCTTGTTTAAATGCTTCACTTCCTTCTTATATTTTACTAATGTCACTTGGTTCGTATTTTCCTCTTGCTTTAAAATCATAGTATTAAGAGCCATGATGTGGAGGAGTCTGTAAACCATGATGCATTACCCCCCTCTAGTGGACACATGCCATTAATATTGCAGCCTACATTTTCTTTAGCAATAGCTAAGGGATTCACAAGATGAATAAATGATAACATGATGACAGAAGTTAATTTCTTACCTTCTTAGGCTTTGCTTTTTTCTCATAAGTCTCTGACAGCGGTTTCCTCTTTGTCTGTGTGGTGGTTTTAGCAAAGAGATCTTCAAACTCACTGGCATCAATTAAGTTTGGCTCTTCCAGAATATTCCATAATGTGTTGTTACTGCGGGAGAGAGCAAAGCAGTCTGTTTAAAAAACGAAGAAAAAAACAACAAAAACATCAAGTTGCTGATATGAGGCCATCTAAGAAAGAAAGCAGGATTCATTAATTTATTATGATTCAATATAAAAATCCAGTCAGTATTTATGAGGTCCTACTAAGAGGTGTAGTGGAATAGCTGTTTGCGCACGTGCGCGCTTCCTTTTATTTGGTGAAAACACAACACTCCTTCGAGCCGGATTCGAACCAGCGACCTAAGGATCTCCACTAGATACACCTACAGTCCTCCGCTCTACCAACTGAGCTATCGAAGGGTGATGAGTTTCAGGACGGCTCTTTCTCTCGAAAACTGCAGTTAGACAATAAAATGATGTAATCTCCAGAACGTGATGATTCTGGCTGTTTGCAACTTGTGGAGTCAACCCAGGTAATTTGATCGTGTTTTACAGCAGCTACAGACAGGCTGTATGTCCCCTTGATCGTACCTCACCCACAATTCCGTTTATAACGTGGCCGGCCAATAATTTCCAGCCGTGAGGAGGAAACGGCAGTAAAACGTATCAGTTTCAGACTGCTCAGGGACTGTGCAGATCAGCTCTGTGGGCTGATTATGACATAAAACTCATGGCCTGTTCTCAGATCTGCTGTTTTGCCTGGGTGGTCTTGTCTATAAAAGTTGGCCATGGAGTTTTGTGTATGGGGGTTTCTCCTGAATAGTCTTCCTACAGTGTTTTGCTTACTGCGTAAGCTCACTGAGCTACCTGCTTGTAAAGTTGCCAGGGTGGACCAGTTAGATGTGGGGCGAGCTGTCCTGGGAACTTGGGCTGCCATAAGATTTGCAGTTCTGCCATATTCTGTATATAGAGGGATTTTTGAGCCAGAACTATTGTGGGCAAAATTGGTGCCACACATTTCAGGTGGCAGGCAGCCTGTCGTAAATTTTTAAGGAGTACAGACTTTCAATATGCTCTTACACACTTCTTGAGTGGACCTACTCGTTGTCCTGGATCTGGATTCTGTTCCAGTAAAGAGGCCTCATGGGTCGGGAAGGCTCCACTGCCGGTTTCCTGGGAGGTTTATCAACTCCAAGACCCAATGCTGGAGGAGGTGGAGGGAGCGATAACCCTGGTGTGGGTGGAGGAGGTGGAGGTGGGGGTAGTGGCGGGTCATTTGATGGCTGCATGTAGTTAATAGGTGGAGACGAACATGGTGGAGGTAGTGGAGGTGGAGGAGGAGGAGGAGAAGGAAAAACATCTGATTTAGCTGGTGATGCTGTCTGAGAAGGAGCTGGTGGTTGTTTTGAGCTACAAGGAGTTACAAGTGAAGAGGAGGAGGACAGTGTGCCTTCGATCTTGCCGGCGAAGCTGATGGAAGCAAGGTCCAACTTTTTGGGGGCCACCTTCTGCTGCTGAGAGCATGTACAGGTTCTCCCGGAACCTTCTTCATCCTGAGCAGTTTTGACAAATGTCTCCCGGTCGGTTTGAATGCAGACGGTGCGAAATGATTTGTGCAAAAAGTCATCTGCTGTAGACACAGCCATATCTTTAAGTTCCCCTTTACAGTGGGTCCCAACCTGGGAGAGTTTGTTCTGCAGCTCAGCAAGACTGAACTCCAGACGTGCAACATTTTCATCCTTGTCCAACCTCAGTCTGAAGAGTTCCTGATCATAGTCCTCCTGAAATAAATAATGTTGTCCAATTATTAATTAATAAATCTTAGTGATGATCATAATGATATCATTCACATTGCTAAATCTAAAGCCAGCTCTGCAAGGCTGAACTTCAGCATACATTGTTAGGGTCCCTGGGTCGTCGACCCAGTGTTTTGTGTTTTTGGTTCTTTGATTTTGTTATTTCATTATATTCTAGCTTTGCTTTATGGGTCTTAGGATTATTCTTAGTTTAGGTTCTCTGGGTGGGGTTTGGTTAGAGTTTTAGTGTTCTGGTTTTCTGTCTGTGTTTCATAGTTGCTGTCTCCCCTGTCTGCAGTATCCCCACGTCCAGTCAGTGTCTGTGTCTGCCCTGGTCCCACGTCTCTGTTCCCTTTGTTATAGTGCCTGCCTGTGAGTCTGTGTTATGTTTCCTGTTTTACTTTGAAAGTCCATGTCTCATGTTAATGTGTCTGATTTTGCTTCCTTTGTCTCGTTAGGCCTGATTTGCCCCAGCTGTGTCTCCCTCCTGTTGCCCATTCCCTGATTACTCCCTCTGTGTATTTAAAGCCCTGTGTTTCAGTTTGTCAGTGTCGTGATCTACGCTTATCTACTCTCACTTATGCGGTGTGGTTTTCCTGCCTGCGTTAATGTTTGTACTTTGGAAGTTTGTTACTTTGAGTTCAGCATTAAAGCTGTTTTTTTGAGTTCACGTCTGTCTCCGGAGTCTGCACTTTGGGTCCTTTTCCTGCCTGCACACAGCCGTTCCATAACATACATGAGGGATCATCAGTCTCTGAAGCAAAATTCAGAGAAACCTGTTCAGGTCATTTACCATCATCACCAAGATTTATGAGTCTCCAACTAAAATTTGTTTACATATTCCACTGAAAATGTCGCAAAATACAAATCTTATCAGTCATATGGCCTCAGATCGCAATATGTTTTTGTGATGGTTCACACATTTACAGGGTTGCTGACAAACATTGAAAGGATTTTGTAGCTACCATCATTTAATTAAAAACAAATGTGCATTTGAGTCTATGATATATATACCCTCTCACTTTTAACAGAATAAAAGAGAACATTATTTATACATATTTTTCCAAGATGTAAAAACTGAAGTATCTTTTAAAATGTTGAAAAACAAGTGTGTATCTATGACTCAGCCCAAACTGGGACTGAACCAGGCAATGAGTGTGGTGGTAATACTGCAATGAAAGACTTTTTCTGTTTTTCTTCATGCAGTCATGGAAATTACCGCACAATCCCTCATCCTTACAGACCTTTAACTTCTCCAGCTCCTCTTTGCATTCTCTCTTCAGCTGCAGGAGAGCAGCCTGGTGCTCTGAGAAAAACAGATCCAAACATCGTCAAAAAGTCTGTCTTTTTTAGAAAGCTTTATGATTTTAATGCTTTTTCTAGTAAAAGAAAAAAAGTTGTTAATCATCACAAGCCTAGTTTGTAAGCGTATTTTTATTCCTGTGAACATAAGTCAGACTAGTGGCTGCTTACAACCCACAAAAGATGAAAACAATGCAACGTGTTACCACATGATGGCAGCAGAGTCCCAACTGTAAACTAGTACAGGCTCGCAGATTATAGAGGCTGGCATCTGTCTAAGCAAACATTTACAGCATCTGCTGTTAGATGACTGAGATAGTAAAAGGGCAGTTAGAAAGTATATTTACTGTAGGCTTCCTCACTGTGTCTACAGGGAGTGTATGTCAAGGGATATGGGCGTGTACACATGGTTTTGTCCCTGTTCAAACAGTGTTCGATAATCTTACTGATTACTGTGAAGTGGATAACAATTAACAAGGAAATTTTATCAACTCATCCATTAAAATACAAAAGCAAGCAGGAGTAGATTATGCCTTTAAAAATGCAAGTAAACTGTGATTTATAATCACAAACTATTCAGCAATTTTAGCCCCCCCCCCCCAAAAAAAAGACTACGGTGAGAGTACAGTGTGTAATTAAAGAACTGCTTTTACAGATGGAGTCAGACTATAGATGTTTACACATTTGCGGGTGGAGTTCAGTTTACCTTTGCAATCGAGCTTGATATTACATCCACCACACTGTAAAGTAGCTAGACACTGCTTCTCTGTCATGCATATTCAATGTGTAGAATTTCACATAATAATAGTATTTCTATTTAGATTTTATTCTCTTTTTACTGTGAGGTGAATACCTTTCCTTAACAGTCTAACCAGCGTACGGTCACAGGAGGCTAAAGTCTGTCTATTCCATAGCAAAGAGGGGGTACGCTCACCCTGACAACCACAAACTTTTACAAAGCCCACTGAGAAACACCAGTTATTCCAACATGCATTGTTTCTGTGGGAGGAAAGTAGAGTCCTTGAAGAAAACCCACACAGGCAGAGGAGAACATGCAAACTGCACATGGAAAGGCCCCAGCCGAACAGGAGTAGCACTATAAACCAATCCATAATATTCACTTCATTAAATCCATTTCAGAACCATTACCTTTAACTGCTGCTTCTTCTTTTGACACTAAAGTTCACATCATTCAACATGAAAAAAGAATTAATCATACTTCTATTTTTTTTAAAAAGCCTTTAAACTGTTACCACATTTCCAAAATTCCCTTAAGATGTGTTTTTGTACATATTTGAATTCAAGCAAATTTTAAATGCTGTCAAAATGTGACCTGTATACACAAATTGTAAAAAAAAAAGAAAAAGAAGTGAGGAATCGAGTTTTATTTTTGTTCCTTCTGTTTAATTTTGTTTGACACATACTTCTGAATAACTTATTGGCAGCATGATTAATATGAAGTTATTCATGGTACATATTGATGGAGTTACTTTCTTCAGCAGCATTAGCAAACCGTATGACACTGATAAACTGAAGAATAAACTTAGAAAGTAGAACTTGGAGAGGTGTTATGTTAATGTCCTGGGTTGATTTATGTGGAGTAATGTTTTCATGCCAAGTTATGACATGCATATATTAGTCTGTACCTGCTTCTGTGTACTTCAGCCCAACTTTTTCTTCCTTAAGAGGTGGCCACACAGCTTGTAGGCGACCAGGAGTTCGTTCCTCTCCTTCACCTGGGCTCGATGTCTCTGACTATGAGTGAGAAAATTGACAGCAGATATTATTAATGACAGAATTAATAACAGAAGTTGCAGCTACATTGTAAAAATGACTGATGAATTGTGATTAAAAACACGCACAACGCTCAGAATTGCTTTGTTTTTTTATTTTTAGCCTGATTTAATCTTAAAAAGTAACAAAAATCACAGAGAGGACTAATTCCTACTTTGTCATCAGGTGGGTCCTTCTCAGGAGTCTTACTTGAGGTTCTCTCAAAAAGTGTTTTAAGTACATCTTTATCATTTCTTATCTTCTTCCTCAATGCCTCCAGGACAACTTTATCTCCTGGGTCCTTTTTTAAAGGCTTTGGTGTGAAGAAGGCCTTGAAGGCATCAAAAGCTGCCTCTGCACTGGACATGGAAGGTTTTGTAAGTTCACATGATTCTGAAACCTCTGTATTTTTATTTGTTTCTGGTTCTTTCTTCTCCTCCTCTTGGCTATCTTCACTTCCATTCACCCTTGTTTCATTCCGGTCTCCCTCAGCCTCCAACACCTCCTTCTCATCTCCTCTCTTTTCCCGACTCAGAAAATGAGAGATCTGGTCTAAGATGTTCCCTGGAACTTTGGTGTCCTTCTGCTTCTCTGTGAAATCTGCCCCTCGTCCTCCCACAGGAGATGGCTTAATGTGGGCCATGGTGCCATGCTCTGGTCCAGTGACCCCCTTCCTTAGGACCCTAAGGCCGCTGAAGAGAGCCGGGACCTGGATCTGCTTGTCTGCGGGGGAGCTCGGGGAGAAGGTGGCTCTGCTGAAGGTGGAGTCAGGTGGAGGATTATTAGTTGCAGATTTTATTGTCATCTCTGGCAAATTATCCTTTAGGCTGGGAAGATGGGGGTGTGAGTTGGGAGTCTCTGAATTTGCATCTCTTGACTCCTCCTCTTCAGCTTCATCCAAGATCTGTTCCAGCTCTTCAAGCGCGGGTCCTGTTCGAGTCACAGTTATCACTACATGTTTACTTTTCAATGGCCCAGTGTTTCCACATATCTGTGGATCAAAATCCATGTCTGAAGTGGAAGTAATTGTGTCAGAATCTTCCTGGCAGTGTTCCCTTTGAGCATTTTCATTGCTGTTTTCAGTATCCTCCGTGGCACTGATGGATACAACACAATCACCATCAGTATCCATGCAGTCAATTGAAATGTGTTGACAACTTGTCTGCAGAGATTCATTTAAGGCCCTTTCATCCAGTGGATTCTGGGATATGTGACAACCCTCTTTGCTGCAGCCATTAACTTTGTGTTCATCTGACAGGTTATTCTGGTCATGATTTGTTGCAAAGCTCTGTTTCTCGAGGCCTTTTTCAGTATTTACAGCCACGCTTTGCTGCTCGGTTACTTTATAATGACTCCTCTTCTCCTCTGTTATGTCTGAGTCATTTCCTTTTTCCCTCAAGCTTGAATTTCCCAGTGAGTTAGAGGTCTTTTCCTCTGCATGACGCAATATAACATATGACAAAAAATCACTAGAATGCTCGAGAGCATCTGTAAAGTCCACATCCCCATTTTTCTTCAGATCACCACTGATATCTTCCTGCATCATGTCTTCAGTTTCTCCCCCAGAGAGGTTCCTAAAAATTTCCAGGGTGGCTTCGGGCTGCTCCATTTACTGCAAGTCACAGGTGAAGTTATCCAGAATATAGTGAGTAGGAAGTGCTAGAGAAACTCGACTGCTCATAGTTAGACTTCAGTTTAGCATGCAGCACTTCTTTACGTGGTTCCGGTATCATGCAGCGTCAGATTATAATCAATAAACAAATGCAAGCAATGTTTGAGTTAATTAAAGTCTTATTCCTGAAAATCCAACCTGTTTTTGTGCCCCTGTTTGTCGAAAAGAAACAAGCATATCCACGCTGTGTTTTAACAGTGCCTTTTTGCCTTTCCAAAGTGCTAATTTTCCAAACCTAAAACTGGAAGTAGTTGTTAGTCACTCAGACTGGCCAATGGCAAGAGAGAAATCCAGTCATGGAAAAAAAAAAGGTTTCCAAGCTTAGCTCCATGGCTCTGTGTGGTGGAGTGACTCAGCTCAGCCACATTTGAAGTTAAGTTCCAGCTTCAGCTTCTCATTCGTGCCTCCTTTTTCCCTCCGGCTCTTCTGTACCTGCTATAGTAGTTTACAGAGCAGCACCTTGGACATCATCCTGTGGATTGTCACAGAGTAATTGGAAACAGATGGTGTGTCCAGCCGTTGTTTCCGACAACACCCTGACATCCGTGAGCCGTATGGCAAAGGAAGCCACGCAGAACAGATGGAGAAGCACCACACCCAGAGCCGAAGGAGGGTAAATAGGACTGCCAGGGATCACTTGCTAAATGCTTGGCCTGTAAATCCACAGTTACAGGGAGGTCTCTCAATTCCCCTGCAGGTACACAGCAATGCTTGGCTAATCTGGGCATCCCAGCGGGTCTAACCCCACCTACACGGCACTGTTAATCAGCTCATATTGAAACTTGCATACAGGATCAATCGACAGAGAAGGTTTGTTTAAAGTTTCGGGAAACGAAAAGTGAAAATAGTGACAGTTTTCACTTGAATGTTTTAGTTAGAGTATTCTGAAACTTGATCTATAAATAAAATAGTTGCATAAATTGAATAAATAAGCAGAGAATAGTAAGTAGGTTTGAAATAACATTCAAGTTGGTGACACAGATCCAAACAAAACAAGGTAATAAGCAGGGAAAGTCACCAAATGGCCATAATTAAAATCAGCAAACAAATATGCTGTTAAAATATATGTTTAAAAAAAGCAAAAACAACTAATTATCCTAAATAAAATTAAAAATTAGGTAGTAGAGTTAATGACCACTATCTTCATACTAATATCTTCACTACTATTAGTACTGGGTAGATTGCGTAACACAAAATATCAAAATAAGAGTCCAAACTTCCTCCTTTGTGTTTGAGTTATTCTTAGCTCTTGGGATCCACCCTTATTTACTTTGAATGTTATCAGAGGCAACAGGTTAGTGACAAACCTCATCTGTGATAACATCTTTACTGTATCAAATTACACTGTGTACATTTCTCTAATAGATATCGTACTCCATATGTTTGATGCATGCCTACACACCCTGCAATGAGTTCTTAATAGAGCTATACTAAAGCTTATGAATACTAATAAGGTGGTTTTTTGCATTCATTTGGTGAGGGACACTGTGGCCTTTATGTGAGTTTGTATGTTTATGAAACAGGAATGCATCCATAAAATCCTGTGAGATTAAAAATCATCTAGCTTCATGCTGAACAACTACAGTGTGTGCTGGATTATAAATCTCCAGGCTGTAATATAAATTAGGACTGTACTGACTGCTACAGTTCACTGCGTCCACAACAGAAGGAATAGATAAGATAAGATAAGATAAGATACCTTTATTAGTCCCACAAGGGGAAATTAGCTTCAATCACACAACTAAACAAAATATTTAAAGCTTAAATTAAATGATTGCATTGTAGTCCTCTAAATGTATAAAATAGAATCAGTTTCCGCTTTCAAATGTATGCACAAAACTCACTGAAAATGGTGAGCCACTCAAAATCAGCCTCTGCAGTTGGATAAGTCCCATATAAAGGGTATAAAAAGAGCACATCAATAAACAGACTATTGGCCTGCTTGCAAGTGGCAGTGACAGCTATATATTACTGCATATTGTTGCTGAACATATGCATTTGTTTTTCATCCCATGTAAATTACATCTTCAAAGTATTATAGCACCTTCAGTGTGAACAGTTTGCGGGCATTGGGGGGAATAGATGGAAAGTTCTTTGTGACACATGTGGTGGGAACAACATGTGTAATATGTACAATACCCCATTACAGAAGTAACCACATGCTAATTTCAGTGATTCTTTCAATTCTTCATATTCTGTTCGGTAATCTTTTCTTTTAATCTTAAACAGAACACCTGTCTGTCCCAGATGATTTCCTGCCTGTTTCTCTCTGCTTTACTCTTTTCTCTTCATACTGTCAAATAAAAATTCAAAATGCCAAAACAATTAAACAAAACTTCAAATATTTTCAGCAAAGTTAGTCATGTACGCACACAGAAGGAAGGAAGTATTCAATTTATTAGTGCTTATCGTCTCTCCTACAATGCACTTACAGAGTTGCGTTAAATCCCTTCTATTATGCAACTACAGGGAACACAGAGCTCTTTGTAGCCCTGGACTGGCTCATGAGGCTGGGATTTACACAGTTGTGAAGCAAGGACAAGTTCATTGCCATAGTGATGCAGCACTGACTGATGCAGACGGGGACTTATTTCAGGAAGGTTTACAGAGAACAACGGCACTGAAATTAGATTAAGGCATCACAATAACGGCACTTAGACTCTTTGTAACTTTTCACACATGCAGAATGAAGAGTGTGTGCAGTATGTTGAAATTAAATTACGTTCTGGGAAAAACAGCTTTCGTATTCTTACACAGTGAGCCGTTAATCGCAGCAGTTAACCGCACTCTCAATGCAACTGAGGTAAAAATATTTTCCCACTGATTTATTTTTGCTCTTAAATATAAAGCACAGACTGCAAGTAAAGTATTCTGAGTCTGATTCTGAGCTAGTAGAGCTCCATGCTTACATGCCTCACTCTCCTAATGCCATATACAGAACACAGCCTCTTGATCCTACAACTGACATACCAGTGCCATTAATACTTTGCAAAAGCGGCTGCTGTTTTCAACTGCTCCATCATCATCATCATCCACCTTTAGACTCTAAGACTCTGTGCTGTGTTGAGATGAGCTCAGAGCACATACTTTTCATTCTACTCACCCTCAAATCCTGGGGCACAGGTGTGGGTGTGGGTGTGTCAGTGATGTCATCATCGGGGGCAGTGATGCGCAGGAAATCAATGTGTTTGGGTCTGGATGGATCGGAAAGTGACCTGCAGATAGAGAGAGACTCCTCGATCTCCTGCTGCCAGATCTCCTCCTGCCTCTGCAGAGCTTCATCTGGAGAAAAGATACCTTGTATTAGTTTTGGAAGCAAATTAGGCTGTCTTAGTTTATTGTAGGTCTTTTAATATCACAGGTAGAGAGCTCATTTTAAACTTTGAAGCCCAACTAATTTTGCACACCACTGGCAAATGCTGCATGTTAAGCTTTAGTGTCACCATGAGGATATAACAAAGAACTTCACCTAAGAAATCTTACATTAACCTTTAGCATTTCATAAACAAGACAAAATTTCACTCCTGCTCTATGAGGAATTAAGCGCTGATTGATTCTTTATGCAAATGAGCAAATTCAACAACCATTAAAAGTAGTCTAGAGAGGAAGAGAAGGTTTTATGCAGCTTCATAATTTGAATTTAAATTTAAAGATGTTCCAGAGTTTCCACAACATGATGAATGCTTATCAGCATATAACCAAGACTGCCACTCTGAACTGTTTTAATCCCACATTGGGCCATATAATAATGGTTCTCACAGACTTCAGGAAAGGTCAGGAAAGGAAAAATACCAGATTTAGTAAAAGGCAGCTGTGTGTGTGTTTACATTAATTTCCTCCCTCAAGGGTGGCGATTAAGCCAGTGATTAAGGAAGTATTCAAATACTGAGCCACGACAGTGAAAAATTACAAATAAAAACCAACATTTAAAATTTTATTAGAAAATAATCAATCAAATGTACCTAAAGTAAAAAAGTGGGAGTGCTCAGTGCCGAAAAACACAGACATACATTGTCTGATGTATTAATGGAAAATATAATTTTACAGTTTGTACTTAGTTTAGGTGGGGCTGATTTTTATATCAATTATTATATATAACTCTAATTATTATTATAAAATGTATTGCTGTTATTATAGTTTTATATTTTTTTATATGTTCTGTTTGCAAAAATCTCAACCTGTAAAGTGATAAAACATACAGTTTAGTGGAAATGAAAGTAAAACATTAGGTAGAAAACAAAGCAAAACAGTAATGCACAGGGCAAATATCTCAACAGTGTATTTAAACACAGATCCTAAGTAAATGCATTAATGATAGCTTGACTGTAGTAAATGTGTGAGTATACTTTCAGATAAAAATGCTATCAGAAACACTTGTGTCACTTTCAGAGGACACATAACCGTTCCAGAACATTAAACCGCTTATAGAAATGTGCTATCGCCCCGAGTTTGACCACACTGAACAGAAAACTGGATTTATGAAGATAACCCCCAGAAGGCTCTGAATGTCTTTCTTCTCCTCTCACTAATCGCCGTCCTCCACACATTGGTTGTATTTCACAAAGCTTAGAGAATTAATCCTATTTGTTCAGCTAGCAGCCCTGCTGCCTGGTCTGAACAGAGTTTTATTGCTACAAAAATGAAGCGAGACAACAGTCTGTGCTGATCTGAGGGAATGCTCGACTCTGCTAAACATGCATTTATTAACAAGTATTTCCATGTACAAATGGGTTCAAGCGTTCCCTTTGTATTTCCCTAAAGAGTTAATTTAAATTATTTTATATTTAAATAAAATAATTTAAATCTACACCGTCTGTATATGGACACCGCACAGTAAAAGAGTTGTTAGCTTTTAAAAACAGGCTTGAAGCCCATTTGGCTGCACAGGTTGACTTCAAAGTGAAAAGACCAGCAGTTTCCTGCTATTAATCATTTACTGAAAAAGGATTAAAGAATTTGGAATCAGTTGAACTGATCCCAAATTCTGAAAATACTCCATCATCATAACATCTTCATCTCTCTCCCTATAAACATCAAAGACGTTTGATGGGTTTGAGTGCACACTCGGATTAAAAGTTATAAAACTATTGTTGATAATGTTTCGGTATTTAAAAATGTTTTTTTTTTCACAACATTCAAATTTTGATTTTGTGGCCAAATAATTTGAAGCTTATAAAATGTCATACAGAATTATGATCTGTGAGAGACTAGAGACCTGTTGAGTGTGTAGCCAACATTTCACTCATTGTCGGTTTGGAGAGGCTCTGGCTCAGGGGTGTCCAACTTCAGGCCTCAAGAGCCGGTGCCCTGCAGGTTTTAGATGTCACCCTGAATGATTAGTTCATTACCAGGCCTCTGGAGAACTTCAAGACATGTTGAGGAGGTAATCTGGCCATTTGAATCAGCTTTGTTGGATCAAGGACACAAGAACACCGGCCCTTGAGGCCTGGAGTTCCTCACCCCTGCTCTAGCTTATATAAATTGCTTAAGCAGATTAAAAAAAAATGTATGAATGAACAGACGGACAGATGGATGAATAGATGGATTGTTAGCTGATGTTTATTTATTAATTGTTTTATTTTGCAGGTACTGCTGATGCATTAACATGCACTTGGTTTACTAATCATCAGCAAGTGTGTCCACCTGTGTCACAGCAGATTTGGCAGGTTCCTCTCGAGCATTTAGGTGTGTTAACACAATGCCACACAGGAAACATACCAGCAATTGCTGCTATACTCGGAAGAGTTATGAGACCATTTTCAAACAGTTTGACATCAATCGTTCCATGATGAAGAAGATTATTAACAGTTGAAAATTTTTAATGACCGCTTCAAGCTTCCCAGGAGAGGACAGCAAAATCACCCTAAGATTAGAGTCATGCTCCAAGAAACTACAAGTTCTTTTTCACTTGACTTTATATATTTCCTTCCTGACTAGGCTACCTTGTGTTTTGATTTTAATATTTCCCCTCCTTGTTTTCTTTTTGTTTTAAACAAGGCTACATAATTTTTTTTAAATTCACATTTTTTATCACTGAATACTTATTTTAAACCCGGTGGACTAGAAGGATGGCAAAGGTTTGATACTGACTCTGAACTGGTGTTCACGAGCTGTTTTATGGCACATTTCAGTCAGAACAGATCTGTGATTACAAGTGTGTCCAAATCAGGTGCTCTCCGGTACTTTGTGCCTGAATGAACACACGCTTAACTCAGTTATGATGGTATGTCAGAGCAGCGAGGGGTCATTATTCACGGACTGCCACACATCCGTTAGATCTGATGTGCGCGTGTGTTTAACAACCCAGAGAAGACTACAGCAGCGGATGAGATTGCACAAAGACTTCGTTTAGAGCATTTGTATCAGAGTGTTTTAATCAATGTTTAAATCTGACAGTCAGGCCTCACCATGTACCACTTCTAACACCATCTGCTCTTCCTCTGATGTTCACTTCACTAATCAACTACTAATAGTTAAACTGAGCTCTTGCACACACACACACACACACACACACACACACACACACACACACACACACACACACACACACACACACACACACACAACACACTTTACTCCTGCTGAGAACCTTCTGAAGGTATTTTATTCAGCTTAGTCCACTTTATGTTTAATGACCACGAAAGATTATCTGAGAGAGAGCCCAGTGTGACGTCTATGGTATAACCTTTTTAAAATAGTTCATTACACCTTTCACTTTCTACTTGACAGGATTCATGGAAACTACAGAAAATATGCTTTTGAGGATAAACTGCGATACATCAAAGCTTTAACTCCTCTGCCCCACACCCACCTCTGCAGTTAGCAGTAAAATAGTTGGGACTGTGATTGAATATTACTGTGCCAAAGTATTAAAAACCTGGCTCGTCTCTTCATATTATACACTGCACTAACACTATGGATAATATCTATTAACAGCCTCAAGTTATAGACTACGCTGCTTGCTTTATCTTTTGATATCTAAGTAATTCTTTATTTTTATGTCTCACGAATATCTCCATAACATCTTTGTCAGCGTAACAGTTTCCTCACCCAGCTTTCCACCATTTAATTTTCCTGGATAAAGCCCAGCTATGGTCCTGTTTACCTATCAGCTCCAGCCAGCACTCAGCTACATATAAGAACTGTTCCCATTATTCATTCAATTCATAACAACACTTCCAAAGGAATGGGTAACATGAGAAATGAAAGTCTGATTTGTGCACAGCAAGTTGGCATCCAACAGCATAGCTTCATATAGCTCTTTCAATACATTTCAGTTGTTTTTAAGGAGTTTTTATGACACATAAAATATGTTGTACTACTAATAAAACAGTGTATTCTATGGCACAGAGTTTATGTTTTTTTAGTTTTTTTATCAGAGTCAAGATATAAATACCACAAAATAGTCATAATTCCACCGTCTACCATTGTTTTAATTCTAATGTGCTTCCACCAGTTATTCTGGAAATTAGAGTTTTGGGTAAGACTATCATATCACTACAATGACCTACCACTTGACAGCCTCCATCCATCTAAATTGTTGTTTTTTGTTAACATTTTTACCTGAAGAGAGCAGATAATCCTTCTCTGTAAACTGCTCCTGAGTGTCCCTGTGATCACTTTCTCTGGCACGTTCACCGTCTCGAGCCCCACAAATAATTACGGTGTCTTCAAGTGGTTCAGTCCAAACTCTGTGTGATGTTTCCGCTTGCTGATCATCTGTGCTCAGTCTGGATATGAGCATAGGTGGTAGCATGGGGGACAGTCTTTCTAAGCTGCTTGATTTAATTGGAGAAACCTCCAGGTTTTCAGACAGAGAGGGCGTAGGAGAGATTTTTCCACCTGCTAAAAGAGGATGTGATGAGGCATTGTTTGGCACACCAGAGTTGATGAGGTAAAGAGGTGATTGTGGATTCAGAGACCCTTCTGTTGTGTGGCTCTGCTCACAAAAAGTCTCCTCGGGCTCTTTAAAGCCTTCACTCTCTGCTTTTGATCCCTCCATCCTCAGGGCCTGCTGCAGACTCCGTCTCAGAGCATCACCCAGAGCACAAAGCTCCTCAACAAACAGAGGCTTGTCCCCACTGGACTCCCTGTTCTGGTCCTCCAGTGGGGACTGAGTACTGATATCAGCTCTGCGACTTTTCTGCAGTGACACCTCTGTCTTCCATCCATCTGAGAGAAAGTGAGGTTCTTCTTCTCCTTTATGACATTCCTTGATCCAGTCCAAACTGGTGAGACTCACCCGGCGTATTATTCCTTCCACCTCCTCAATCTTGCCCATTACTCGCCGAGCTGCAGCTCTCTGCCCCATCACCTCAAGCCTCTGCTGAGAGGACTTTATGTCTGCCTTCTCTTCATCTTGTTTTTGGCTTGCAGTCTTGTTACTCTTTGCCTCCATACTAGTGTTGGAGAAAAACATTGAGTACATCTCATTGTCATATTCAGAAAGGTCAGTGTCCGAGTCAGTAGGAGTATATTTTTCCTCTTCAGACATATTCTGTCTGGGAGAGAGGTGGACTGTTTCGCTCTTTGATCTAGATAAGCTTGCAGAAGAAGTATTAGGCAACTTTACTCTCCAGAGTGGCTTTAACTCATGCGTTAAAGTATTTATATCATCTCTTTCTCTCCTAATAATTTTCTTCCTTCTTACTGTGGGAGTGCAAATGATAGGTCTCTCTTCTTCAAAATCCCACTCCTCAAAGGAAGAAGACCTCAACCTCTGGAGCTTCCTCAGTCTCCTTGCCTTCAGAGGTGCCCATGGAGTCCCGGACACCATCTTGAGGTTATCCTGAAGGTCACTGGTGTAAACATGCCCTTCGGCTCTTCTTCTTCTCTTCCAAGATATCTGGACTCTGGGGGAGTTTGATAAAGCATCCCAAGTTTCTGTGTAACTGTGACAATTTGGCTTAGGTTTGGTTCCCAGTTGGTTGCCCATGCTCATGAAAGCCTGGCAATCTGAACACAACGGTAACAATTCTGTAAGCCAGCAGCTCTCAGATGAGTCATCCAATGCTCTGAGGGTTTCTTTAAAGTCTGCGAGGCCAGATTTGTCTGCATGGCCAAGCATTGCTGTTTCAGCTGGACCCTCCTCCCAGCGCTTAGAAAACAGTTTTTGTTGGAAGCTGGCGAGGGTTTTGGAGGGGGACGATAGACTCCTGCAAGGGGAGAGGGATGGACTCACGCAGCTCCTCTCTTTGATGGGTCTATAGAAGTGTAAGTTACTATAAGTCCTCTGCATGGTTTTATTTAATTATCACAGACGATCAGTGACCAACCACTGGGCCTGCTACAAAAAGAAACAGAGAAACATTTATTTCAGACCATTTAAAAAAGTACTTGAACTTGTGTAGACTTACAGTTACACACTCTAACAATAAGTTAATTATGTTTTGCTCATTTTTTAAAAAAAAATTTTTAAATGACTAATTAATGATTGCAAACCTAAAAAAAGGATAAAAGGATGAAAATAAATGGATAAATGTCCACTTACTCATAGCGAACAGTAGTGTCTCTCCTTGAAGCACCAGGTCACCCCTCTGTTGCACTCAGCTGCACTTACTGTGACATTCAGGTAACTGACAACTCCACGCCCACTGATACAACAGGATCAGCCAATCACTGGTGCAAGCTGAAAATTCTGACAAATTCTATTGGCTGATCACCTAAAGATCACTACCACTAATTCCCTGATGCCTGACAGGTACTGACAGAAGCAGAAAAACTAACAGACGGCAGGCCCGGTGGGGATTTAGACTTATTGTAATCTTCTTGAATTCAAACTATACTGAAAGAAAGACAAAATAGTTATCACAGAGTTTTGCAGGAGTATATTTATTCTTTATCTCTGTAGGCTATCACTTTAGGGTTAAAAATTGGTGTATTGACTAAACCTTGTGAAACAGACAGCTATGCTCCACAGGACAATATATGATATGATTTAAATTGAAGTAAAATTAATAATAATGTTGTGTAAAAACAAAAAGGTGTTTGATATTATAAATTAAACAAACAAACCATGAATTGCATAGTTGTTCAATATTGGTTCATGCTGTTTTACACCATTTTCACTCCAGTCCTAACATCCCATTGTTCAGTATTTATTTACATTTCATCACCTCAGAATAAACTCAGAGAAATTCTGCTGTCAAATGTTCTGATTTATCTCAGTTTTAACTTGCATTATTTAACTCACATCTGCCCTTGCAGAAGTCCAGTGATCAGAGACTGTATTTAGGCCAACTGTTTTCCATGCCAAGCTGGACACTGGTCAGGCTAATCTGACTACTGGCCAGCTGTCTTTGATGGATCACAGAAACATTTACAGAAAACAAACTGCTATTCATACTGCTACTAACTTTTCAAAAAATAATACCTGTGACAAAGAAGATGGATGCTTATGAATCTGATTATGCAAAAATGGCATAACAGGGTGTCAAATTTAATGCGGAACAGCACGTTGTTGTGAAGTGATTTTAATCTCCTATTATGTGATATTAATGTATGCACATGCAAGCCAGTGTTGCTATCTCTTCAGACCTGGCCACTGTACACTTCCCAAAACAGGAAAAAAAAAAAAGAATACTCTAATGGTAAAGAAAGTGCTCATATCCCTTTTATAAAGACACTGGAGCAGATAAGCAAGTCAAAGACAGTCAAACAGGCCACGAAATTACCAGACGTTAGAAGGATTGCATAATTGGAAAAAATGGGAAAATGTGTAAATAGTGTTGCAACTTGTACAAAGACTCAGTAAAAGTGACTGAGAGTTTAGTTAAACTGTATGAAGAAAGAGCAGAATTTCCTGGATGATACTGACATTTATTCTTTTGTTGTGGCCATAATGTGAAAACAACTAAACAGATCATGCGTGATAAAATGTACCGGGACCTCACAAGATGACCACTAGATGTCAGTCATGTCTTGACATGATGTGGAGTGCGTTTTCTCATGATCAGGTTTTTTTTTTCCAAACCCACATGACTGACACCTGACTAATGCTGTAAATGCTTTACTTAGCATAGAGACGGATGTTAAATGCTTCGAAGTCAAATCCCAGTTAGATACCAGTTTGGTCATGCACAATATTTTGAATCACGAGCAGTAATCCTTAATTTTTATATCAAGTTATTTGATTTTTATTTTTTTTTGCATTTAATCTGCACTGCATCAAGTTATACTGTGAGTGAAATATTTCACACCCAGACAACTTTTATGCAATAAATATGTTATAACCGAATTTGATATTTCTTTCTGAAAACCTGACTACATTTAAGCACAATATATATATATATTGTGCTGAAACAAGTAAAAAAAGTTTTTTTTAAAGTCTCTACACTGATTCCACGTTGTGAAAACATAACTTTATATTTTCTTTATACTTTTTTACACTTTTAAGTTATACATTGCAGAGCATTTCTCGAAACTAAATTTACACCAGTCTCCAGATTTTTGAAAAAACTGCTAAGTGTCGGAGACGGGGGGAGGATGGGGGTGCAGACAGAGAGACGGGGACGTTCAGAACTTTGCATTCAGCTCCACTGCTGCCAGTCAAGACCAGCATGCGTCATTATCAGACAGGGAGTGAGACCAAACCGCAAACATTTTAAAAGTAATACTATTTTAGCACAAGGACCCATCCTCGTACGCACCAGAGCATCAGCTGCCATCATCATCATCACCACCGGGAGCTCGTCCCCTGATGCCCCGTCCGTCCGCTGATCCGCACTGCTGCTGCTAGGCGTCGGGGCGCGGAGAGGGGAGGGAAAGGAGGAGGAAGAGTGGATGAGGAGTAGGAAGGAGAGGAGTGGAGGGGGGCTCGGCCGGGCTGCCCTATATGGCTGTGGATGTGCTCTCTGCTAATATCGGCTTGAGAGCCACAGCATCGCGTTTCTGCCAGCAGTCAGTGGTGGCTTCCAGAGTCTAAGCAGGCTCCTTCACAGCCATGGCTGAGGGCGGAGAAGGGGAAGATGAGATCCAGTTCTTGAGAACTGTAAGTAAAGAAAATTTCCTCGGTGCGGACAGATAGAACCAATTCACATCATACACTTCACAGTCTCCTGTCGCCAATTAACGCATTCAGAGGCAGCAGACGGCTCGTGAATTAAAGAAATCTCTTATACGAGGGGAATTATCGGGGAAGTTTTTGTTAACGCATTGCCGGTGGTTAACTTTGCTTTCGCATATGCATGATTAATGATTGTGGAAGTTGCCGCAGGTTGCACGCTGCACCCCGCGGCCACGGCGCACCTGTCGACGTGACTCTTTATGAGGCGAATCCCAATGAGACCCGTCTGCAGGTGCAAGGGCGAAAAAAAAAGGTGAACACCATCATGTCGTTTAATAACGCATTCCCTGCTCATTTGCATCCATCCATCATCCCTTTTTGGATTTCTCGAGAAACATTGCCCACCCCCCCTCGCCCAACGCACACAAAATCAGTCGCTGCTGTTTTGACTTTGTATGGTTATATTCTTTTGCCTGGGGGAGAAGAGTTTCAATAAGTTGTGCTCACACGCAATCCACCCTCTGCGATTACTATTTTAGTTGTTTGACGCAGATTGCTTACGGTGTAGCTGCTCTGCGTGGTTATGCACAGCAGATATCCTTGTAAATGATATGACAGCTTGTATGTTGGTGTGGTGGGAAAAGCTATCGTAGCGGTTTGACCGCGCTCGTATTCTTATTATCTGTTGAAGCTTTGTGACCCTGGTGTTGCGTGAGCAATAATATGACTCCCACAACATGGACAGAAGCGATGGCTACAATTTTTTTTATACTTCTTTATGAAGCTTTATTTTTTATTTATGTTTGAATCTCAGGAGGCATTTAGATGACTTTTTGCTGATTTGCACATTGGAAAGAGTTTTTCAGTTGTTGGATATATTGTAATTGGCCAAATTTCTAGTTATTGTTAATCTGTTGTCTAAATGAGAAATTTAATGAGATTATAAAGATCAGAAATACTCTTACTTGACATAAAAATTAACTGTTTTTGAAGTGGTACCAAAGTGATTTACAGTACATGGGTTTTTGCTCAAGCAGCCACTGATTTCCATTCTTCTGTAATTCGTCACTGTTAATAATTCGTAGATTGACATCAAAGTTGCAGTGAATTGCAGAATGAGCTGCTATATTTAGCAAGTTAATGCTTGTTAGCTGTGACGTATTTCATAAGTCAGGCAAGTTTCAGACGTCTGCTGATAGATTTTAATTTTATACACAAATTAAAGGAAAGCAACAGGATGTCAGAGAAAGTGAAGCCTCTGTAGAAATACCCCTCCAGCCATTGTAATATAATTCTTCCATAATGTTAGATGTGTTGTTGGAGACAAATTGGTTATAACTGCATCTATCCAGGAAGTTTAGCCGCTATAATAATCACTCACACCTCTAGACTCTTATTTTCAAAGAAGGAACTTGTAGTCATTTTCATTAGACCCTCTTTGGATCTTTTAGAATCTAGACAGTCAAGGATTGTGCTGAAACTGAGGGCTTGTTTTGAGACTTCATCCAGAGCCACAAATATTTGGATTATGCAGCTTCCATAGCTAGTAAGATCTTTGAAGTCACATTGAGTTTAAGTGTTTAAGTTCGATGCCCCAGAGATGGTGATATATAAATTACCTCTGATCTATATGTCAGAGGTCTGTCTGATTGTGAGCAGTAGGCAGGACCTTGTTCTTAACAGCTCCCACTATTTGTGAAGCCTGTGATATGCTGACACATGCCTCTCAGATTCTACTGTCACAATGGCATCCCAGTTATTTGATGACAACAGCGATTTGTGAGAGGGGGGGGCCTTGTTATCAAACCTCTGTGGTGAGAGAAACGTGCCCCCACAGGAAGCCTTAAAATAAGAGCGCTAATTGAAATACACCCCATTACAAACTGTTGAACATTTAGGGATAAGCCTTTGCACAAGTGGTGTGTCTTTTGTGAAGGTAGCGGTCAAAAGTTTTTAAATGATTGTTGCCAACAAGTGACATTGTAGTATGGCTTTTGTTATGGATATGGAAGGAAAATAATTACCCGACCAAATATTTGGTAATTGCAGCTGCTATTTTAAGGAAAAACAAAACATAAAAAACAATGTAATTAAATGGCCAAATGTGCAAAGTATCCAGCTTTGGATTCATCTTGTCAGATGGTAACAGAGGCCCAGACATTGTGATTTGCTTTAAGCATCAACGCTGCTGATGTGTAACTTTGAGAAAGCTGGCAGTCATGAGAGTTTCTCTGTCAAAGGTGAAGACAGCAGTTGCTTCTGAAACTTAATATTGTACCACCGAAGCTTACTCTCTGCTTTGATTCAGGGAGATGATTAATACTCCACCTTATGATACAATGAAATGAAGCATTCATTGATTAAGACCAGGCTTTCTTTGAGCGTTTCATTTAGAATAAAAGTCATTGAGTTCATGACTTGGATCGGATTAAGGTTTATTCATTGGCACTCCTCTGTTAACATATGTCAGTTAATCATTATTAAACTCTGGCCACTGGAAATACAAAAAAGGAGTATTTAGGCAATGATTTATGCATTTCGTTTCTCCTGAGAG